ACTTTTAATATCACTCGATGAATTAGACGTCATGGACATAATTGAAGATGAAGGCTTGAAATACATGGCTGGCTACGTAGCGTACCGATTTAAAAATAAATATCCAAACTTCGGAACCGAAACCCATTTCTTGTCACCTGTCGACAATGTGGACTGGCTGCGATTACCAACTCCTGGGGAGGGACTGAAGAGGGGTCCTGCCCAGAAGGAGAGCCTCAGTTTGGGAAACGGATTCCAAAGAGACTAAGCTCTAAAAAAACTGTCGCAACAGCGCAGAAAGGGAGCGAGAAATGGGTCGGAAGCCTTGGGATTCCCTGGAGAAGAGCCTTCGCGAGTCTTTGAGCCAGACGATTGTCGGGACGACAATTCTTTACAAAAGGAGGGCAGTGTTACGCCCGTGCCTCGTCGCATGCTGCGTTTTGCCGACCCGTGGTGTCGCGTCGTCAAGACGACGCGTGGTTGTTTACGGGAGACAACCGGCAGATCTTTGGAGGACGGTCAACGCGTTCGGACGTGTTTCTCCAGCGGACATTTTATACATCTATTCCGCGCTATTCACAGTCTGTATCGTCGACGCCAATAAAGATCCTCTTTATTACTTCCATAAATCCTTGAATCAGCTTCTTTCCGCGGATCGGGAGTGCGCGTCGCGGTCGTGAGTGCGAACTTGCGCAGCGGGCGCAACAATATATATATATATTGAGTATTTATATTAAAAAATATTAAAGGAAATTTTATATATATATTTATTATCTATATAAATAACAAAAATTAATTTACATCTCAGAATATATATATATATAATATATACACCGCAAAGATTTTCCATAATTTTAATATTAAATTGCGCATAATTCATTAATGTTATTGTGCTAATGTCGTTAGACAATTCAAATTTGCCGCTTAGTGATGACGCTGTCAAGCTGCAATTTTCATTGGCTGGATTTCTTGGGATGCGCAAGAGAATACCCTTGTATTTCTACCATGATGAAGTCCGATACCGAAGCTTGAATTGAGAGATGCATCCGGAATATTGCTTAACATTTGAAGAAGAAATGAAACTATCCATTGAATAATTTGTGAAAGACCGTGTGATTGGGGGGTAAAGGAAGAAGGCGGGGGGAGTGAACAAAAAGGTAGAAGGAGGTGAACCAGAAGCAGGGGGGGCGATGCTAGAGGAGGAAGAGGAATCGGGGGAAGAGGGAAGGGAAGAGGGGGGATTACCAAGGGGGTAGGGAGAAGAAGAGGGAGGATTGGGGTAGTTATAGTACGTAATCTACCATTGGGCGCGTAGAGAAAAGATTTATGGGATTCCCGCAATTTAGCGTAATTATCCGAAGGGCGGTGTTCAGTGGTCCTTTTCTTATTGTCATTATGGTCGCTGCACAGAATAGACGGGTCCGAAGGATACCACTTCGCCGCACCATCCCGAGGTGACTGAGAATAAGTATACTTGATGGAGGGAGCCGTCCCGGCCATATCCGCATAGGAGCGGCCCGTATAATGCCGCGGTCCAGGGAATTCAGGAGAATTACCAACGAGGTCTGAGGGCAAAAGATCATCATAGCTAGCCGGCTATCTTGGGGGATGAGACATACGATTGGATGATAGAAGGGGAAAATCTTTATGATGGAAGGGGTTAGGAGAGGGAGAAGCAGAGGGGGTAGAGGCCTCAAATTTAGCACGTGCCTCGGAATATGACATTTTCGATAGTAGCGTAGGCGTATATTTGCTTATGGCGCGTGTATGTGGGGCATAACTGAGCAGGAGGGCAAATGTTCCCCCTCCCCCGCAGTTGCAGCAGATTGGCTGAAGATGTAAACGAGGGCATTCCTCCTGGTTAAGATGTTTCTGAGAGCCGCATCTAACGCAGCGCGGCTTGCTCTTGCAGTCCGCGCTGACGTGTCCGTATCTTAAGCACGAGAAGCACATAAGTACTCTCGGGAAGTAGGGTAGAACCGGAAAATTGACGCACAAATAATTGACCGAGCGTGGCAAAAATTGGCCCCGAAATTTAATCATAATCGTCCGCGAAGGAGAAGTAATCAATTCCCCGTCCTTACGGGATCTAATACTTAGACGTTTTGCCGAGATGATTTTGTATGGAGAGATGAAATGGTTAACAATATCGTCTACCGAGATATCAAGTGAGACATTCTTAATTACGCCGGTACGCAGGACACGAAAAATCGGTATAGACGCAGAAAGGCCGCTTTGAGCTGCTCTTTGAGCAGCGGGTGAGAGATAGCTTTGTTAGCCGCTTTCCGATCGTTTAGATAGACAGCCACTTTATTGCGACCCGAGGATTTAACCTCCGTGATTTTATTGTTAGCTATCACGCGTCATAACGCACGCTACCGTGACCGGATCCAGACGAGCATCACCACCATCATTACTCGCGATGCGCCTCACAAAGACAATAAAGGGGGAGTTGTCCCCCTCGTCATAGGTTAAGTTAGTTGTATTTGTTTCTTGATTGAGAGTATACGAGGTCGTGGTTGCAACCTTCGGCGGGGACTCCCCGGCACTCGGCTCGTCATCGTGAGCACGCTTGCCGGACAAGGGTACCCCGCTACGGCCCGTCACCGCCCTCACTAACGGCCGATCCTCGGGCAACATGGCTCCCACCGAGGGGGGAGGTGGATTCCCTCTCATAGAGGACCGCAAATTTATTGAATGATCCCCGTCGATACCGATGTCCGTGTCCATTTCATCATCCTCATGAAGCGAGGAAATATCTGAATTGCGAGACGAGTCATTGCAACACGGAGACCGCGATCGAGAGCGAGAACAAGCAGGCACAGCCGCAGGAACAACGGGAGAGAGGTCGCAAGAGCTTCGCGAAGACTCTCTCCTCCTCCCCTTTTTCTTCTTACTATTAGATTTGCCTTCTACCGAGTTATTAACCGGCAGGGGGGCTTTTTTATAGAAGGCCGCCGGGGGCGGCATTGCTTTTGAGCACGAGGTGGCCTTAGAGCCACTGTCAGAATTTTCCCGCACGCGCGTAAAAAATGAGTTGAAATCCTCGAGGGATGCAGAGAGACGCTTGTTGACCGACACCGAGCCGCCGCCGGGATCCGGCGGCCTGCATAGCAGGATCGGAAAGCGTAATGCGAGAACGAATCCGCAAGCAGGCAAAAATGAGTGTACTCACAAATAGAGGGGAAAGAGATCCCACTCAAAATCACCGAACGCCAGGAAAACAGGCCAAAGCCAAGGATGCACAGGAAGCGAAACGAAAAGTGCAGGAAGTCCGCATCGTTCGATGGCTCGCGAGAGAATGAGCGCTTTTCAAACAATAGCTGCGTTCAGCAGAGAAAGCAGCTTTGCAACTGTTGTAAAATTCTTCAATACGATTGGTTCTTGCTTTTGGTTCTTGACAGATCTAAATGTATAAACCAATCATATTGAAGAATTTTACAACAGTTGCAAAGCTGCTTTCTCTGCTGAACGCAGCCAATGCTTCCGATTTAAGCTGCGGTTCGATTCACGCTAGTGATGCGAGATTCGGATTCGATTCTTTTTTCGCAAATTAATCGATTTATTAGATGATTCTTTGGCGGTCGATTATTTATGAATTGATTATTTTTCATAGTTCCA